GTCCCTGGCTCTAGCGGGGGAGGGGGCTGGGAAGGGGGGGCAGAAAGAAAGGTGGGGCACGGTTTGATCTATTGTATCTTTTCCTTTTTTTTCTGTGTCAAAAGTAACCGCAGATTAGTTAGAAATATGATTAAATTGTATCTGTAAAAAATTAAGATGTTGCATGAACTACGGCCCGGAACAGGCGTGACCTCACCCTTTCGCTGGTTTGTGTAATGAAGCGGATTTTTTTTTCTTTTTTTTTTCAGTCCTGTACCTAGAGACCAGTTTTCTTCAGTAATGAGATTTTCGGCCCCACCCCCAAAATGATTTTACAGTGGTTGCAGATGAAAGGCTTTAAAATTTTTTTACATACAATATGGAAGGCTCTGGTACACATTTATTGTGCAACTAGTCTATTGTTTGCTTGTTGTGAAGTTAAAGGTTATATTCACCGCCCGCTATTAAACCGTAAGGTCCCTCTTGCTGGTGTGGTTGCATATGCAAATTTCTTGTTGAGGTCTGTAGGAGTTTGGATTGTGTATGAAGGTGGGATTGGAAAGAAGGGAAAACCTAACATAGTCTTTCAGATTGTAACAGGATTCACCTGAGGTGGGTGGGTTTTTTCTTTCCTGTTGCTAAGTGGAGCATGCGTTTTACATGTATTTCTAAACAGATATATATTAATGCGTGTTGTTTTCTTTTGTTACAACCTGCAGATCGCCTCGGTTCTCAGTACAAATGTTTTATAAGGCTTTTTGCTAACATCCATACTAGATGTTTAAAGAAAACAGAAGTGATTAATGTTCTAAGAAGGTGGGTGGGAAGACATAATCAAGCCTATGATCAGAGCATATATTAGAAAACTCAACAGGTTCAGGAATAAATTTAACATTAAATTTAACACAATTTTAAGGAATCAGTGTGCCTATTGTTTCGGAGTGACACAAAGCTGACAGTTTTAGAGGCCTTTTCATCTATTTTACATTTCAGTGTCTTCATTATTTTCAAAGAACAAATTTGACGAATACTGAACTGTTTGAAAAAGTCTCAAAACTTCTCATGAACATTTTAATCTTCAGAAATGCATTTAGATTTTGTTTTAAATGAAAGTTTGTTCATTATTTTATTTAGCTTTCTGGAAACTGATAAACAACTTCAAGTAGATCTCTGTAATTTTTTTTATTTTTTTTTTAAGGAATGTAAAATTTACTTCTTAGGTAAATTGTATCTTGCAACCTTCTTCCAGTAGGAGACATCTATATCCAAGAGAGCAGTTAGCTTTCATCATCTCTCCCCTGTCAGACAAGTTACGTTTTTATGAAGTCTTGGCTGGAGCATAGATCCCCATTGGCCTATGACAGTGCAATGTGACCATTACATCTTCAGTGCCATGGTACAGCTCTTAGGTCTGGAGGACAAGTGTCAAGATATGGGCCCTCTGAGAAAGTGTGATTTTTGGACATCTTCTGTCTCTGAGACCTGATCGTTAGGTCACAAGGTTGGCATTGTGGGTTATGCCAATGGAGGTAGAGCCAATTGTTGTTGAATTTATAACAACAGCTATAAATCTTAGAGAATCACTAGGTTATTTACATGTGAGTAATTCTGATACAAGTTCTGTTTTCCTCTTTACATTGCGTAGACCAATGTTCAGTTTGCTCATCCATAGACAAATGATAAACTGAGCAAATGATAAACTGCTGAAGACAGTTTCATGCTTCTGCTTCTCTTGTCATCCTGGACTATGAAAGCGATGGGGCCTTGTGACTGCAGCTTGTGCATGTAGGCCATGAATGAGCTGATTGCTGCTCAGAGGCAGCTTCTAGCTCAGTGAAGTCAGCAAGAACACGAATGCTGAATAGAAACTTGCTTCACCCTTGCTCTTCTTTCTCCCATTCAGTTGGGGATACCCTTTGACATTCATTATGGTTTTGCCACTTTGATGCTGCATCTGATGAAAGTGTCTGTTCTCAATCCTACCACGAAGTCATAAGGTGAGGGGAGTGAAGTGCTGATGTTTTGCAATTCAGCAGCTTCCTCACCCCTCTTCTGCTTCTTTTTTGAGCCATTGTTGGACAATAAATAGTTCCCAGCAGATGTGTTGCCAATAAGGAATAAGAACTGATTAAGATTTAGCATCCTCCCAAAACTAAATAGCAACTAATTTACCTCCCGCATCTTCTGCAGAAATGCCTGGGAGAGTCATTACTGAGGGGTGGCTCTGTCTTGATTGTCTGTTTTCCCCACCCCACTCCTAATGAAATGCCTGTCTGTGGAATACCAGGACCTAAAATGTAAGAGATTACTCTTTCTTTTTTTTTTTTGTTTACTTTGTGAGTTTCTTAGTTTTGTCGTCTTTATATCCCTCCCTTTCTAAGATGGCAAAACTAATACATTTTTCTCCTAATACAGTTTCCCTTTTACCTAGAAACTCTATATAGACTGCATACACCTTTCAAAGATAATTGGCTCTCATGGCTTAAACCAAACTTAAGTATAGTGTCCTACTGTAAACCAAATCATTTTGTCCAAGATCTTAACTCATCTTGACTGACCAAAATGTTCTGTGTTCCTTCATTACATTCCTCCTATCAGTATTGCTATTATTGTATACTCAAGTAAAGGGTAAAGATGGCTGTCTGCTTCAAATTGTCACAGAATTGCGGATGTGTAGATCCCAGGCAGATTGAACCAGCTTCCAAAGTTAGCCAATAATAATGTGAAGACCATTCCCCAGATGTGTGCTAGTGGTATAAAAGAACATTGTTTGGGACTCGGTTCAAATAAAAGCCGTAAGTCCTGTTTCATTCACTCATATATCACTGTGTTCTCTATTTTCCTTATGGGTGATAACATCCCTTGGCAGCTGGGATTCCTGGCTGTTCCCTTCTGAAGGTTCTAGAACTATTAATTGTTTCCTTGATTCAACACTCCACAAGATTTCAGGAGAGGGGGGCAAGGTATCTTTGTTCTAAACCTTGTGACATAGCCTTGTTTCTCATATTTCTTATTTCCCGACTTTGTTATCTGTAGTTCTCCACATCATACACATCAGCATCGAGTTATAGTAATGAATATTTTTTTAAAAGCTTGCTTCAAGGGTCACCTGTTTCTGAGCTGTGAACAAAGAATGGTATATTTCTTGCTTGCTTCAAACTCTCATATTCTAGAAAGTTAGGTCCCTCCATGCATCTTCCAGACTGGTATTTGCATGGCTTATCAGTGCTATGAAATAATGTGTCCTACCTCCTGTGTGCCAGAGGAAACTGCTATGGCTAGCGCATCTTTCCACATTTTATCATTCTTCATATTTTTCTTCTTTTATCAAACAGCTCATGAAGTTAATGTAGTAGTGAAGAGGCTCAAATCCTTGAGACAATCCTAGATTTTAAATGCTTTAGTAAATATATGGGGGGGGTGATATCAATGCTTTGAAACCCAATTTCTCTGGCTTGCTGTTGTGAGTATGCCTTGGACACATATGACCGCACACCAGTGGCTTCAGCTCCCACAGGCTTCTTTACATTCTTAGCTAAGTCATGTTTCCAGTATATCGTGTTACCACTGGACTGTCCTTTGGCTCCAAGAGCAAGATAATGCCAATACTACAAATTTCCTTAATAGGATGTTTTGTTCATAAATTCCATACTGATAATAGCTAGAGCTTAAAATTGGTGGTCGGAATTTGACCCTTAAAGTAGGTATTGCAGTGCTTAAAAAGTAAGTATATTTGCTAAAAATTACTCTTTCTGCTTTTCTCCCTGTATAAACAACGGAGAGAATTGGGAACTGCCAAATAACAAGTGAGTACTAGTCTTCACTATTGTGCAGGGAGTTGAGATGCTCGGAGGCGTACAATACTGTACAATAGGAAATGATAGTTACAGATGCCAATGTCTGTTGGTTAGAGCACCAGTAAAAACAGCAAGAGCTCTAAAAGCTAGGCCTTCTGCAGTCTGTGGGAGTTCAAACCTGGAACAAATGGTTTCAAATGGTGAGGCACTGACTTTCCATTTTTTGTTGTTGAAGAAAATCTCTGGGCCACTTTGGAGTGAAAAATGCTAGGGAAGGGGAAAAGGAGTTCGATTTTACAACATGTTGAGCACTGGGATTCCCAAAGGGAGAAGGAAAGAGG